TGCCAGAGATGCTGACTGAAGGCTCAGGCTCCGTCCCTTTCTGAGCTCAGCCTGGTGCCATCTCTCTGGCTACAGTGGAGGAGGCTCCTTAGGAACATTTCTCTAGGACTTCTGCCTGGGATGCTGCTGTTGGGATGTGGAGGAGAGTACTGAGTTCCCTACAGAGCAGCCAGTCATACTAGTCGCTTTCCCCCCTCCCTTTTGGAAGTCCCAGCTCCATCCCTTACTAGCAGCATAGTTGCTAGTGACCATCATATCTCTGGGCCTTAATTTATTGTGAAGCAGCAATAGTAATGATCTCTTCTTAATAAGTTGTTTAAGCCGGGCGGTGGTGGCACACGCCTGTAATCCCAGCACTCGGGAGGCAGAGGCAGGCGGATCTCTTTGAGTTCGAGGCCAGCCTGGGCTACAGAGCGAGTCCAGGACAGGCACCAAAGCTACAGAGAAACCCTGTCTTGAAAAAAAACAAAAAAGTTGTTTAGAGGCTTGAGATCACTTCTGTTAGCACATAGCCGAGTATCTACCATAGAGGAAACAAGAAGTAGAGGGAACAGGATGATTCCATTCTCCACATGGCAGAGAGTGTTGGAGACCATCTCCTTTGTTCCTTTCCCCCGAGTCTTGAGCATGCTAGAGAGAGGTCCACACTTCACTGATGTGCCTGTGCTTGGGCTCTGTCTGCTAAGTAGTAGGTGCTTTAACAGTATTGGCTTGTGATCTGCTGATGGTGCTGATGACATGACCTTATCTCCTGGGATTAGTAAGCATAAAATAAGAAAATGAATGAAGAGGACAAAAGCCTAACACTTGGTATGTCCCTCCACTGTCCATTGTTTGCTCAGGTGTCGTTTGTTTCTACTTACTAACTAGTTCAAGTACTTCTCCAAGGCACAAATTACTTATCTCTTAAGTCCCACTCTGTCTAACACAGTAGCCCCCTAGTAGATTAACTGAATGTGAGTGGCATAGGAAAACAAAGGAATTATGGAGCTATTCTTAGGAGCCAGAAAGAGGGCTTATAAATACAGACTGGGGCTTCTTCCTCTAGGACAGAAGCACTCATCTGTCCCTGAAAGAAAGACAAAACAAACAACTCTCTTCTTTCTGGGCAGAGGCAAAGGAAGAGGGGCAGGGATAGTGTTGTATTATCTAAGAGCAGCTAGAGCTAGAAGCTGGCACTCAGGCACATCTTCACCAGTCCTTGGGTTGGAATTGATACCATCTGCTTGTAGTATTAGAGTAGTGTCTTTGACCATCATCAGTCAAGGAACTGTTTGGCCCAGCTTAGGCACATCTGCTGCATAGCTGGACCAGCTTGGTGCAGCCTAGGGCTCCTCTCCATGACTGGGCTGTTTGGGCTGGCTCTGGTGGGTGGACTTCCTGGACAGTATGGGAAGGAAAGAAGTATCTAAGTGTGGTCTGTTCTGATTCCCTCAGAGGGTCTTCTAAATTTTACTGTAATTATGTGCAAGTGTGTCTGGGTGTATACAGGTAAGTACAGGTGCCCTGATGGGTCAGAGGCTGTGGCTCCCCTGGAGTTAGTTATAGGTGGCTGTGAGCCACTTGACATGAGTGCTGGGAACTGAACTCGGGTTTTCTGCAGGAGTAGTATAAAACATTTTTTCTTTTTGTTCTTTAAGATTCTTGAGTCTTCTGTCACAAGCTCCTCTGCATTTCGGTGGTTCAAAAGAATAGGTCATGTGCAGTCACGTTGTCACAGCTCTTGATGCTGTTGAGGAAAGACTCCAGAGTAGCCATGTTGTGTATCTGGCTCTTAGGAATCCTCCTTGATTTTTGAGGAATAAGCCTGGCTGATGGGCCGATCTCATGTGTCCTGAGCATCTGAGGCATTTGCTTTCTTTCTTTCTTTTCCCCCATGGAGCTGAGACAGGTCTCAGGAGGGTGTCACTGAACTTGGTCACTAGCTCCATGTCCCTCTGCGTGAAGGAACCAGCAACAAGAGAGTTGGAATGCCGAGCTTCAGGGAGACTCGGCTGAGTTTTCAGAGCCTGCTGAGAAAGCTGATTCAGTTCTGGTCAGAGCAAGAGCTCCGCACATTGTGTTTTATAATACTAATGAAATTCCAGATCTGTAATAGCATTTCAGATATCTAAAACAAACCGGGTGCTTGTAAAAAAAAGTGGAAGGAGATCAACTTTAAGCCATACATTCTTGGTAATAGAGGCTTTCCCCCTATTTATGTTTGATAGATATTTTTGTTTCCAGAGGAATGTCAACTCCTAATTTCATAATGTATCACAGGCTTAAGAAAATTGAATTTAATAAAAGCCAAAGATGAATGGCATCCTTAAAGGTCCCAACACTTGTCTTTATTAGCAGGACAAACTGCAGGTCTCCAAACACTGTTTCTTTCCAAATGAAAGTTTAAATGAAAAGTACAGTTGTGTCGCAGGTTAAATCTCATTGCGGGCCTAGCTAACATTGTTAGTGAGGAGCTGGCTCGCTCTGTTTCCTTAGACACCAGGGCAGCCAAACTCACCAGGCTGTGGAGTTCTTTCCATTGGGGGAGTATTTCTCCTACTCAGTAGGAGAAGAAGAATATACTACGAATCCAGGGGTCACAAGGGGGCCTGACTCATGAGCCACAGCTCAGAGCTGACTTGGGAATCGTGGATATGAGAATTTTTAGGAACAGCAGTGTGTACAGTGTATGTGCATGTGCTCAACTTAGTTTCTGGGGCAAAACTCTCATCTGCTTGGCCTCCTGTGTAGTCCTTTGTGGGAACCAGGCCTCGCCAGTTGGAGAATGAGTCTCTCCTCCACTGGGAGGGGAAGTGCCTGTCCCCTGGCCTAAGCATCAGCTCAGCCCCTTGCCCTGCCCTGCAGCCATGAGCCTTTCCTGAGTCTGCTAGAGAGTTCGGTTTCGTCATCTCTGGGGTCAGCCCCGGAGGACCAGGCAAGCTTCCATCAGCTTCCCCATCTTTGGGCACTGCCCCAGCCTAGGGCAGTGAGTCACAGCCTGTGGGTGGTGACCCCTCAGGGGGTCAGATAACCCTTTCGTAGGGGTCACCTAACACCATTGGAAAACACAACTATTTACGTTACAGTTCATAACAGGAGCAAAATTACAGTTATGAAGTAGCATTGAAAATAATTTTATGGTTGGGGTCACCACAACATGAGGAACTGTATTGAAGGGTCACAGCCTTAGGAGGTTGAGAACCACTGGCCTAGGGGCTCCAGGCAGTCAGAGCCTTTAAATTTCTCTGATCTGAAATTTAACTGCCTTGATTTGTTTTTCAGCCTTACTGTTATGCTTTGGATTGAAACAAATACTTAAAAATAAAATAAGTCTAGCCGGGCGGAGGTGGCGCGCACCTTTAATCCCAGCACTTGGGAGGCAGAGCCAGGCGGATTTCTGTGAGTTCGAGGCCAGCCTGGACTACCAAGTGAGTTCCAGGAAAAAGGCGCAAAGCTACACAGAGAAACCCTGTCTCGAAACCCCCGCCCCCCAAAATAAAATAAAATAAAATAAGTCTAGCCCCAGGTGTGGTGGCCCATGCCTTTAATCCCAGCACTCAGGAGGGAGAGGCAGGTGAATCTGAGTTCAAGGCTAGCCTGGTCTACAGAGTGAGTTCCAAGACAGTCCAGGCTACACAGAAGCCCATAATATTAGTGGATATATTTCTCAAGGATGGCAGTTGTATCCCTTGGGGCGTGAAAGCAATCGACAACTTTCTGTCTTCCACCCACTGATTCCCTGAGTGGGATCAGTAGTCAGCAGTGGTGAGTTCTATATTGCTTCTCCAGGATCTCTCTGCAGAGAACGAGTTTGCCTTGGTTTTGATGATGCCAGAAGGATCTTCTCTGGAATGAGGGTTCTGGGGTAGGTATGCCCCTGGAGCTGATTGTTGGGGCCCTTGTGTGGGCAAAACTCCTTTTTGTCTCTGCAGTGGAGGCTGTTTTCACATGCTAATTTTACTTGGAAGATTTTGCTTTTATTTATTTTTTTTATTATTTCCTATTTGTCTTTTCCAGATGTTTTCAGGGCAGTTTTTTGTGTGTGTGTGTGGGTGGGTGTTGTAAACTAATTCCATTCATGTTTTAAAAATTTATGAAAGCGCTAATAAAAATGTCAAAGTGGTAAAAATGTTAGCTTTTCCTCTGCTTTGATTAAATTTTGCAAACTGTTTTTGAATATTAAAAAGCAATATATTTTTTTATTTTCTCCCCTTGGTTTCCCTCTTCTTTCTGGTACGCGTGCTCTCTCCTGCCCTCTCCCCCCTCTGGTGCATCCCTCCCTTTCCAGGAACGATGTATGAGGCGTGCTGCACAGCCAGCGTTCTGCAAGCCTGTTTGCACACCAGGACCTTGGTGCTGTGCATCTCTATTAAATAACGGAGACAAATTAATCTTAGAGACACCAAACAAATTGTCACTCCTCCTCCTTCTCTTCCATTACCTTCCGGCGCACTGGGAAGGGCTTGCTAAGCGGTTGGGCGGATAGGGCAGGCAAAGGGGAATGTGTGGAGCTGGAAGGAAAGGTGGGAGGCACTGGCCTCTATTAACTGGTGTTCTGTTTCCTCCTTCTCTCTGATATCCCCTTTGGCTTTATTTGGGGGGGCGTTGTTTGTTATCTTTTTTTTTCCTTTCAAAAACTAGTGAAGACCCCACCCCCACCCCGCCCACACTGGCAGTGTTTAAGCTTCATACAAGGAAATCTGTGCCTGTGCTGGTGGCTGCTTGCTTACCTAGAGATCCAGACCTTTCAGGACAGCAGCCTGGGCAAGAGAGGGAAGGCCTTTCTTTCTCTTAGAGGTTCAACTGATGGGCTCCTGTCAGGGAAACTGGCAGGCAGAGTGCAGGCGCTACTGTCTTCCTTCCTAAAAACCATGGGGAGACTTGTTGACATCCCCTCTTCTAGTCTTGGGTTTGGGCTGCAGGAGGAATGAGCCATTTTTTCTCAGCCTGGCATAGTTATTTGAAATGGTTGATCATAAGAATGACTTACCTTCTCTTCTGTCTCTTTGGCATTCTAGGAAATCATTGAATTTCCCATCCTGAAGTTAAATGGCCGGACTATGGAAATCGAGTCTACCTTTCACATGTATGTCCAGCCTGTAGTCCACCCACAGCTTACCCCCTTCTGTACAGAGGTAAGAGCTGCTGGGAGAGGAGCTTTGGGATTGTTGGTTCATGCAGGCCACTTAGAGAAAACTAGATCTGATCAGTGGTTAAAGCAAGAGCGTAGCAATGGCTTCTTTAGTCTGTGACTGCTTGAGTACCTGTCCCCAGGAACAGCAGCAACACTGTTTGCCCTAGATTTTCCAACATTTCCCTTTCCTTCTTGCCCTCCATATTCCTAACAACTGTACACTTGGAGTCAGGTTCTGAGTAGCATGGGACTCAGGCTCGGTCCTGTTCCATTTTCAATAGTATAGTGCCGGCTGGGAAGAGGTGAAGATTTTGGCCATTTGGAGAGAATTGTTATGTTCAGGCTTTCATAGCTTCCTAAGATGCTGATGTTGCTCTGTCCTTCTACAAAGTAAAGCAGGACTCTCCCACCAAGGACAGAGAAGAAAGGCTGGCAAGGCTCAAGTGTTTTCATCTAGGCTCACACTGTACTTGGCTACCTTGTCTGCAGATTAGCAGACTCTGTTTTACAGACTGCAAAAATGGAGCTGAGGTTTTGATGGTTGCCTGAGGTTTAGAAGAGCTCTCAGCGGAGGCGAGGAGCTCCGGGAGGGCTGACTCCCAGAGGGTGTGGAGGGGCTTTCTGTGGCTGCTATCACTGTAGTGTGCCCTGCATGCCATGCGTGCTGTGCTGGGATCACTGGTCAGGCATGCATGGGAGCAAGGTGAGCCTTTGTGCCTTCATGCAAAGACATACTTTCTACACATAAGTGAAATAGGAGAAAGAAGTCCTTGAAGGATTCCCAAACAATTTTTTATTGTTGTGGAAGAGACTGGGGGACGGCCTGCTAGATGCAGTGGGTGGTTTGGTGGGCCCTGAAGCTAACTAGCCCAGATATGGGGTCTCCAGAGCTGCTCCTGAACTCATAGTCATTGTTTGCCATTTGGCCCAAGTAAGCCTTTTATGGCATGCACCCATCCATCCAGGTCTCCAGTCTCCCAAGCCTTTCATTCCAGCTCATGATGTTGAAGTTGTCCCTCATTTTCCCCCTTCCCCTGGAAATTGCCTCTCCCACTAGGGTGAGTGGCTAATTTGCCCTTTGCTCCCTTTTAGAAAGCCATCATTCAACAGTGGAAGGTTACACTAGCTACCACCTAAGACACCCAGTGGCCTGGAAGCCATGCCATGCCCTCTTCCCATCCAGGTACTAACCAGGCCAGCCTGGTTAGCTTAGCTTTGGGGAACAAATGGAATGGGGGCATTTAAACTAGTGTGGTCGTGTGGTCACACTGCCTGGTGTGGACCAGAGGCCCAGATCTTGGAGTGGTTGCTGCCTGCTCAGGAATGGCAGAATGCTTCTGGGGCTGGCCTTTGGCAAGGGTAGGTGCTCCAGAAAGTGGGGATGGGAGGCACCCAGGGAGCATCCTCCAGCACAGAGTTTCTGGTACAGCTTTGTGAGACTACAAGGAAAGCATGTTTTTTCTTCTTGACAGTTTTACCCAGGAACATCCACAGTTGGAGGGTGGTGGGAGTGGTGTTGGGATCTGGGCGGCACAGCTGTTCTGAAGACAAAGGTCTGGTTGTGAGGCATTGGGTTGAGAACTCGTGCTCTCCAAACTCCTAGCTCCTGCTCTGTCCCCACCTGCTGCGGTGTGCCCTATGCTTTCTTGTGCTCCAGGCCTGCTTAGGGTTGCGTCCTTCCTTGGTGCACAGCCTGGATTGTGCTTACCCCCAAATCACATTGATCAGATAGCTTATATTTTGATTATTTATCTGTTTTGCTACTCATTGATACGTTCCCAGAGTACAGATCCATTTCTGTCCCATTATGAGAGTTAGTACCATGTGTGCTCCATAAACAAGGGACTGTTGCCAAGGAGGTGTCTCTGTCTCCTCCAAAGCTACTATATTGTTGACTTGGTCTTTAAAAGAAAAAAATCTGTGTTTGGGAGGGAGTGCACACATGCTATGATGCACGTTGGGCAGAGGACAGCTTGTGGGAGTCAGTTCTCCTTTCACTGTGCCGCCTAGGAATTGAATTCAGGTCCTCAGGCTTGGTGGCAAATGCTCTTATTGGATGAGCCATCTTGGTGACCTCTGACTTATCCTTTTGAGTGAGTAAAGTCTCTGGAAAACCTCACATTACCTCAGTGTTGCCCTGAGCCCATATCAGCTGTAACTAGGTCTTGAAGAGAATTCTGGGTACAGGGTGAGGCCTCACCTGCCCTGGCAGTAAGCCACTGTTGAGATAGCGGTGGGTGGGTGGAGTTAACCTACCCGGAGACTCTCATTAATAAATGTGTGAGCAGTGCTCTCACACCTCTAGACTGGACCCAAGCAGCTCTTCTAGCATAGCTTCTTTCTCCAGTGCACAAGAAGTTCTTAAGAACCCTAGTGTGGTAAGGTGCATAGGCGTGTGCCTATCATCTCAGCACTCTGCAGTCAGAAGCAGGAGGATGAGGAGTTCACTGCTAGTCTGGACGACATGAGACTGTCTCAGATAAACCAATAGGGATGCATGATGACTCATGCCTGTAATCTTTGTACCTAGAGGCTAAGACAGGAGGCTGGGAGTTGGAGGGCAGTCTGGATTAACCTATTGAGTTCAAGGCTGAAATACCAAGGCCCAGGGCTAGGTAATGAGACCTGGTCTCAAAAAACACCCAAACAAAACTTCCAACCTGTATATGTGCATGTATGTGTGAGCACATGCTTGTATAGTGCTGGGCCACAGAGAAAAGGCTTTGGCCAGAACAGGTTTGTAGTTTCACAAATGCTTATGCTGCTTTGTGAAGAAAGTCTCAGCCTCCTGAGGTACCGCTTCATTTCATTGACAGCCATCCTGAGCATGGCTCTGGTGGAGATGGGGTGGCTGCTCCTCTCCTGTGGCCTCTGGAATCTGACCCAGCTTGTGAGCTCGCGCCCAGCAGCCGGGCTGCTGCAGTCCCTGGCCATGTACAGTCTTTTGTTGTTGTTGTCATGAAAAAAAAAAAAACCAACAGAGAAATGCCCATTTTGCTAAATGCCAGTAAAGGGCTTTGTCTTGCACCTGTACTTGGAAAGAGTGAGATTTATTGGTCTCTTTGTGTGAGGAGAAAGAGTGGGTCTGGTTATCAGATTGCACACCAGAGACAAGTGCTTATGTAATCAGCACACTGTCATGGTGTCGGAATACGATGGTGTCGGAGATAAACTGTGAAAGGAGAGCGCCTGGCCGCTGACATGCTGCTGGCACTGAGTTTCCTGGGCTGCTTCCTGGAGTTGCTACTGTTTCCGATGACGCCAGCTCATCCCTGGACAAAGCCCTCATGTAGGTACGGTCCTTGGGAACCAGCAGTGTGACCGACCAGTCATGTCCAGAGTCCCTGCCTGTGCTTTCCATCTGGAGAAGTGGGAGTTAATCTGTTAATTCCTTGGTGAAAGGAGCCAGAGAACACACATTAATGCTTCCTCTCACCTCTCCTACCTTAAGTGGTTAAGGCCTCTGAGCCCGTTTAGCCTGTGAGCCCTGGTTTTCAGCTTAACAAATACTTGGCTTTGCTCTAGTACCGTTCATTGTAAGGATAAGAAAGCCTTTTGCAAACATATGCTAATCTAAGCAGGGATGAGCTTAAAACTACAGTATGAAGGATTTAAGTTAGGCCTAAGATAGAACTTCCCAGGTGATTTTATGCAGTTGTCTCTCCCCCTCACCATTCACAGATTGGTAGTATATAAAGTTCGGGGACTAGCTGCCCCAGTTTTAGCCCTCTTCATCGAGTGTGCACTGGCAGCTGCTAAGAGGTGGTTCCTTTGGGTGATGAATCTAACCCTTCAAGAACTTTCTCAGTCCCTCAAGGGCTTGGAGACTTCCCTTAGGAGACTGTGTCTAGTTGAACTACTGTTCAAGCCTTTGTCTCTGAGACTGACTTCAATCCCAAATGAACTCACTGGTGAGCCACACTGGCTGGCCACCAGTGGAAACGCTTGCCCTCTAGAAAGCATGGCATCACAGTTGACCGACATGTGGGGAGAGGTGGGCCTGGCCTACAGTGAGGAATCCTACAGCTTTCCAGCAGGACGCCTCTGTGGCCCCTAGTTTTCTTTTTCGGTGACTTTTTTATTGTGTGTGTGTGGTGCTAAAGTTAAAAGCCAGGATTTGGAGTGTGCTCGGCAAGTACAGGTGTAGTGTGTTTCTTACCTACATCTGCTTTCCCCAGGGCCTAGGTTCTTGTCTGGGCCTTTGTCTGCACATGTAAGACTTTCTGAAGCCCTTCAGTGTTGAGCTGCTCTGAACTCCCCTGGGTGGAGCCAGAGAAGGGGGCCTGGCCATCCCTAGGGCTCATACTAGAAGGGAGAGTGCATGTGAGCCTTTCCCACCACAGCCCTGACCCTAACCCATCCCTCCAACCTGGAAGAATTTAGTGGGAACGAGCAAGGCTGGGGTGAGGAGTTGTAGTCCGTGGCTGTCAGTCTGTCTTCTGGAAGGTGGACCTGGAGTTGAGAGTCTCTCCCTGAGTCTTGGTCCCTCTGTGCCTGACAGAAAATGTAGGACAACTTCTTGTCTGCTCGGGGTGTGGTTCTGAGCTTGGGTAGGCCCTGGGTGCTAACCGGACTAGACACAGGAGGGCACTGTGGTGAAGAGGCCAATTCCAAGAGGGCAGAGCTTCCGTGTTCCTGTGCGGCCCCGCTTCTCTGGCACATAGTAGGTGCCAGGAGAATGAAGAAGAGTAGTGCTCTGGTCTCAGATGTAAACCTCCCTCCCGTGCAGGGTCCCCCCCCCACCCCCCAGGCTGTAGCAGGAGAGCAGTCTTTTCTTCTTTTGACTCAGGCCCTCCCTCTGCTGGGCAGTTCTTTGGTCTCCCAAGCAAGGAAAGGGTGTGGAGGTGCCAGCCGGGTGGGCATGCTGTGGGTTAAAGCCTTGCGAAACAACAGTGTAGTTAATCTTTCTAATTTATTTTCCTTTTAGACCATGGGAAGTCTGTAGGCAGCAGCTGTTACCCAATTAAAATACAGATTAATATAAAAACAGTTTCTGGAATATAAAATAGAGTGGCTGTGTCCTTACACTTCCTTAAAATACCACCTAATAATGACTTGATGAACTACAGAAACCCACCTAGAGGAACTCAGCATTCTTAAAATGAAAATTTCTTCCCTAAAAGGTGTGTATTACCATTCCATGTAAGTCACTGTGAGAAAATAACCTTCCCTCTTAGAGCCAGCACTTTCTGTGAGTTGGGTGTTTGGTAGTCATTAAATGTAATTATAGTTTAATTGGAGTTTTAAACCCCTTCCCCCACTTCAACAAAAAAGTTGTTTCCAAGCAGCTCGACATAGTACTCTTTGTGAGAATAGCCAGGGACATGATAGCATTGTGAGTTCTAGCCAGTGTCTGGGGCAGGGCCTCAGGCTTCAGATACCGATAGGAAGTCTGTGCTTGAGTGATATTTTACTCTAGAAATAGCAAAGCAAAACAAACTTGCTTAAAGCTAGGCCTGACCTGGGCATGGCCTATGCCTGGGAGTCAGTCCCTAGGCCAGAGTCTATCTGTCCTTCAGACTTTCTCGTCTGTCTCCCCGTTGCTCGTAGGTGGCCTTCCAGCTTGCCTAGGCGGTGTTGAGGACTGAGGTGTGCAGATTTCTGAGGAGGTTCACCAGGTTTGGGGAAGTGCTGGATTGACAGAAAGGGAAGGCTCAAACCCAAGTGTGCCAGACTCCACGGGAACTTCTGTGAAGCCGGAGTCTAATGTGCCTTAAGACTAATTTGTGGGAGCTTATTGAACGTGTTGAATACAAAAGACATGTAAAATTAAAAGAAAAAAATCCCCCAAAGAACAAACATGGAGCCTGCCCTGTTGTTAGCATGGGTGTGCAGGCCTGTCTCAGGCTACCTGCTGTTGAGGATGTTCATACCGCATCCTAGGATGTGATTCCCAAGCGCCTGGCCTGGCTCTGAGCTTGAAGCAGTGAGGCCCTAGCCCTCGCATTGGGAGGAGGAAGAGGGAACAGAATGGACTGTCCAGCATGAGTCCCTTGAAACTTGGTTTTCCACCCAAAGGCTGTTTTTCTTTTCTTACAGCTCACCGGGATTATTCAAGCCATGGTGGATGGCCAGCCAAGGCTGCAGCAAGTGCTGGAGGTAGGCTGAATGACCTTTAATTCCTGACCTCTGACCTCTTCCTGCTGCCTTTCCCCCCCTCCCCTCCAGAGAATGTAGCCGTATAATTTGACTATGATTATGGCTTGATTAGAATAACATTTGCTGTCACATCAGTGACATGCTGTTGAGAGTATTGAACCATTGATCTGTCATCTCCAGCTGTTCCCGTCAGGGTTACTGACAGGATGTCCAAGTGCTGCCAGGAGTCAGGCAGAGCCCCCTCCTTGCCTGGCCTGGGGACGGCCCTGTGCTGTCTGTCCGCCTGCGCTGGGTGGGCTGGGGCAGGGGAGCTGCTTTGCAGCCTTGCGGATTAGCCCCAGGGACTGGAGGTGTTTTTGTTTAGCTTTGGTGTTGGCTTCTTGTGGCATGTGAGCACTTCATTAACTCACCCAGAACTCCCATCGATGCCTTTTGTTTGCTGTCAGCTCCTCCAGGAGCTGCAGCCGGCTGCCAGGCCCACCGCAGCTTGCGGCAGGATGCTGCCGTGTGCCTGTCGGGTGCAGAGGCTGCACTGGGTAATGATTCCTAATCAGAATAATTACAACAATTGCCTATGTGAGGGAAATCAAATTAAAGACTTTAGAACTCTTGGCAGAGACCACACTTCTTAGATATTCTCCTCAGGGAACTGGGAAAGGTTAAGGCGCTGCTCCCTGTGCTCTGGCTTGCGGGAGTAAGGAAGAGGCTGTGCTTGGTCTCAGCCTCCCTCTCCTCTACCCCTCCAGCCTCAGGGTTTTCTAAGAAAAAAGGTTCCTTCCCAGCCCTGCTCTGGAGAGGAGGCAGACAAGAGCAAGCCTGTGGATTTCGTTGGGTGCTTTGTTTGTAAGACTCATAAATCCAAAGCTTAGACCTTATCAGTGTGTAGGAGGAATAGCAAGGCATGTTGGCATGGGAAGTGGACAGCGAAGAAGTGGAATTGTGGGATCAAAAGGGAGGCATCCTGTCCTCTGGGGGAGCATTGTGGCCTGAACATCCTAGAACCATCGGGATAGAGCAGGTCTGAAAGGCAGACTCAGCTGACCTCAGTGGCAATGAGTGCTCTGTATCCCTGGAGTCTAGAGGTCCAGGCATGTCAGCCCAGTTTTGGCCATGGTGAGGGCATTTGCAATAGATGGCAGAAGGCAAGGAAGGGAACTTCTATTTGCCTCCCTTCCCTACTGTCCTGTAGAGAGGTGGTCCATGCTGGGACTGAGGGGTCCCCTCAGTATGCTTGCTCCTTGCCAACAGTATCCCCAACCAGCCTTGCTCTAAGAAGGGAGAATGGAGGACTGACCACGTTCCCCAGGAATGTCTGTTGCTGGAGTCCTGGTAGAATGTTCTGGGTCAGCTCCAAACCAGGGTCATTCAAGTAATGGTTGAATTGAGGGGAGATGTGGTGTTCAAAAGACACCTTCCTGGAGTAGGGTGCTTAGGATGTTCTGAATGTCATCCACTCCTAGGACTTTGTAGGTGAGGAGGGAAGATGTCCAGCATCAATCTGAGTAGTTTCTGGAGAACAAGGACACCATATCAGTCCTGTTAGTCCTGAGTCAGTTACAGAACTAAAATGTCAATTTCTTGTCCCAATCAAAGCAGCCAGCAAGATGCTTACCCGACTCATTTATTCGGAGAAGAGCTCAGGCTGGCCTCACTCCCCTGCCGGGGATGGAGGGACTACTCAACACACAGTTGCCTTGTACCTCCTGTTGCTTTTCTTCATTTAGGCAGAACAAGGGAGGTCAGGCCTGAGTGTCTGGGCAGACTTACACTGAAAGATGCTCACTAAGTTTCTGCCACATGGTGGAGTGTAAATGCCTCTTATAAATGCCTCTTGGGACAAAGATGGTCATGCTGGCTGAGTCCTTCTGTCGGCCCTGTCCTGTCCTCCTCTCCTTTCCCACCGTGAATTGGGAGGTTAGCATCCTATCATGTGGGACACTTACTTGAGTGTATAGAGTCAGCCAGCTAACACAAGGTTTTAGAGATTTAGGATTCTCTGGGTTAATCTTATCTCTTCTCTTGAATGAAGTCTGTCTTTTCTTTAGATGACCTTGGGTAAAGATGTGATGGTGTGTGTCTGCACATGTGTGTACATGTGTATAAGGGATTAAGCCAGAGAGCTGAGAAGACAATCAGCAGTGGAATACCCAGCCTCACTGCTTAGGAGGTTCCTGGGCTGGGATTCGTAGGCATTGAAACAGACTATGAAGAGAGTTTAGAGACTGGGCTCTACACAGTTGAACCAGGGAGCAGTTCTGACACTCTGGGTACTAGCCTTCCGTGGAACTTGAGTGGATTCTTGGTCTTCTTATGGGTGCCTCTAGCATCTCAGAAGTGCCAGGGGAGCTAGCTACACCTGCTGGATGGAGGAGTCTCCATCGCAGCCCACATGTGCTCTCCATGACTGCTGAGAACACAGCCCCTCTGCAGGCTGGTCTAACTGCATTTCCAGCCTTGTCTGTACTGTAGGCTTGGCTCACTAAACTCCTGTCTGTTAATATTCTAGTCATCAAGTATCTGTAGCTTAGGCTGGTTTTGAACTGTCTCTGTAGCTTAGACTGCCTCACACTTGTGATCCTCAACACCACAGCTTCCAAACTGCTGAGATTACAGATGTGTGCCATCATGCCTGGCAACACATTTGTTTGGAATTAAATCCAGGTCTGGGTTTGGGATTAGGACAGTGAATGAAGCAGATGAAGCAGCGCGTGCGCGCGCATGTGCGCGCGCGCGCGCGCGCGCGCGCACACACACACACACACACACACACACACATTCCCCTTGCATTCTTACAGTCTGCTAGGGAAGACAGACTTGAAGTCACTTCTTATACAGTCGTTCCACCATGCCTGTACTGTTGCCAGGAGTATTCTTCCTCTTGGTCCTGCAGCGGTCCAGTCACTTTTCCAACTCCCTTCCTCTTCTCTCAGCCTCCTGTCTATTGTAGGGGAGGCATTGACACATTATCACAGTTAATTCTCAGAACAACTCAGGAAGGATTGTCGTCTTACCCCGTTTTATAGATGAAGGAAACTGAGGTACAGTGGTATTAAATGACTTTTAGATGACTTCCAGTCAACAACATAACCAGGATAAGGAAGAGCCAGGATTGGAACCTAGATATGTGTTGCTTTCAATTCTGTGTTTCTAACTACTGTATGATAGAGACTTAAAAAATAATCCTCCCATGCAAGTAGAAGCCATGGTCTTATTGGCTGCACTCCCTCCCTGTGCCTGGGATCTTCTGAAAAATAGGCAATGCTTCATGAATTCTTTATGATAATTCTCTTGTTATATACCGATGCTTGTGTTTGTACTCCAGTGTGAGTGCAAACAGTAAAACCAGCTGAAGGCATGAAGAGAAGGACTTAGGAATGCTTTCTTTGCCTGTGCAGCATTTGAGCTCAATCTTCAAAATACTCTGCTGAATTTGAACCCTTGGCTAAGAAAAGGAGAAATGCAAAATAGAGCCTGTTTTCCAGCCCATCAGTGGGACCTCCTCTGAAGGGAAAGGGACTCCATCTTTGCTTGATGAATAGCTAGGTTCATAAACACAGTTAGTAAGCACTTACTGTAAGTGTGAACTAGCATGAGTGTGAACAAGACTATAGGTAAGGTACTGCTTGTGGCTTCTTACTGCCCTGTTCTTATGGCCCAGGGTAGCCTGAGTTTGTGCTGGGCTGTGCCTTAGTATAACAGTCAAGGAAAGAGACAGTCAAGTCAGAGAAGGGTGTTTGGACTGTCAGTTGGGATCATGGGTAGGCTGTCATACATTGAAGGGTAGAGGGGCTCCCTCTTCCACCACACACAGACTGGTGATGTCTTCTCAAAGAGATCATCCTTTAAGAACCTCTGTGGTCCAGAGCCAGGCCAGGGCTCAGAGCACACAGCTCAGCGCAGCTGGGTGAGATTACCATTCCTTCTGCTCTGGTTACAAATGGCTTATCTGCATGTCACTGTTGGGGCCATTTATAGGCTCAGAAAAAGGACGATCTCATTTGTTCTTGTGTGCTTTCCAGAGGGTCGATGAGTGGATGGCGAAGGAAGGCCTCTTAGATCCCAACGTCAAGTCGATTTTTGTCACCTGCGGAGACTGGGACTTGAAAGTCATGTGAGTATGTAGAGGGCCTCTTTGCTGCAGGGCTTGGCATCTAAGGGACCAGGCATTGTCTTTTAGGGCTTAAATGTTCAAGCTTGCTGGGCAGCAGGGGTCCCTGGGTCTTTGAGAAAGGCTGGGAGCTGTGACTGCTAGGCGTCTCTAGAACAGGGCGGGGACCAGCTAGGGCTTTGACAAGTCTTGCTGCTCATGACAGCCCTTCTAATTGCTGGCCTGCATGTTACTGACCCAGGAAGAGCATTAAAAGAGGATTTGGGAGGGGGGGGGCATATATTTGGTTTTTCCAGATAGGGTTTCTGTGTGTAACAGGCCCAGGTGTCCTAGAACTCATTTTGTAGACCAGACTAACCTCGAACTCACAGAGATCCACCTGCCTCTGCCTTCCGAGTAGTGCGATTAAAGGTGTGTGAGGCTACCACCCAGCTGTTCTTCATTTTATTTAAAAAAAAAAAAAATCTTTTAAACAGAATACATAGTATTTACTATTTGGAGTGCTATGAAATAAGAACTTATTCATCAGTACTGTGAAGTAGGTACTGTTCTTACTTCTGTTTTATAGTTAAAGAAATTAAGGCACAGAGAAGTTAAGTAACTTTTCCAGAACCACACAGCCAGCATTCAGAGGCAGCAGTTGGCTCCAGGGTCCTTTCCCTTAACTGTTACTGTGCTGCCCTATTATTTGCATTGTGAGACCTGGTTATCTAGCTGAGAGCCTGGTGGTCTGATTCGAGAGGGCTGCTTCTGGGAAGCTGCCCAAGTCACCCTCCTCTCTCTTCCTTTGTCCCCACTGCTTCTCCTTTGTCTTCTGATCCTGTTCTATCTGGTTGTGGAAGACAGGACAGGCTCCTCTGCTGGGCTGACACTTGTGCTTCTTGTCTGTCCTCATGGACACCTGGCTTCAGACAGCCCCTGGGGGACCAAAGGGGTGGGGGCACTGTTTGCTGAGGGTGGAGAGAATCAATATCACTGTGTTCTTTGTGACTAAAGCAGCAGCAGGCAGAGTCCTTTCTCTCTCTCTCCCCCCCCCCTTTTGTGTGTGTGTGTGGGGGGGGGGGTGTGTGTGGGGGGGGGGTTGTGGATGGGAGGGGGTTGGTAGGAGTGAGGTATAGTGACTGCAGTGGCTATTCCTGCCAAAGCAGGTAATACATTCTCACCAGGGTCCCTTGTGTGTGTTTTAGACCCTGGTCATTGAGGTGAGCTTAGGCCCCCAGGTGGGTGTCACATCTGCTTTTGAACCTTAGCTGGATTTGTGGGGGAGTCAGGAAGAATGATCTGCAGAGCACACGGGCACACGGCACTCAAGCGTGTGTACATACACTAGCTGCAGAGCACACGGGCACACGGCACTCAAGCGTGTGTACATACACTAGCTGCAGAGCACACGGGCACACGGCACTCAAGCGAGTGTACATACACTAGCTGCACACCTCTAGGTCTGCGCCAGAATCTCTGTCCTCCCACATGACAGACGAATGGTGCGGACTGCGTCTGGAAGTCTGGAAGCAGATCTGAATCAGAGGCATTGATGGAGATTTAAGAGGGCAAGGGTGTTCCCTTTTTGTTTTTTGTTTTTTGAGACAGGATCTTGTATATAATTAACCCAGGCTGGCCTTGAACTCACTGCATATGATGACTGCCGATCGTCTTGCCTCCACTTTTCAAGTACTGGGATTGTAGGTGTGTTCCACCACACCTGGTATTTGGGTGCTGGCTACTGAACCCAGCCAGGGCTTTGTGCGTGCAAACACCATACCAACTGAGCTATACCCCAGCCTAGGAAAGCTCTTCTCATTTGTGTATCTTATGTACCTTTGAAGCCTAGAGAGTCTTATGTGGAGGCTCTGACCCAGGAGAAACCATTCAGATGGGGCAGGCTCAGGCTGATACCCCCAGATTCTGGGGGTCACATGGCCCAAATGGAAGATGCTTTGACCTGGTCCAGGGCCCCAGTTCCTCCAGGTAGCCTCTCCAGGCAGGGCTTCTCCTCTTGCTGTGTTTTCCTCCTGGTATCTTCATTGTCTCAGTGCTGGTGCTTCTGAATCTGCTGCTGTCATTTGTGAGGAGTATGTGCAAGCATGTGTGCAGACAACTTGATGTACATGGGACTCGAGACCTTGCTGCTGGGCCTCCTCAGTTTGGAGTTGTCCTGTGAGATGGAGAGGCAGGGTTCAGAGGGCGCTGTCCTTGGTCTAGCCTCTTCTGGCCTGCAGCACCAGTCCAGCCTTTGGGCCCTGTGCCGCCTGCCGTTCTGTGATGCCTGGATTGGGTTGCAGAATCCAAGTGTGTATGTCATTTGGTCCTAACCACTGTCTCTGGTAGGAGGCGATGTCTCCCTTTTATAAACACAGCAAACAAATAAAGCAAAGCAGAGCACTTTGGGGCTCACAGAGGTAAAGACTCAACCAAATCGAAAGGAATTCTAAGACTTCACAGTTTGCACTTACTTGAGTTTGATGCTGGAGAAGGGTATGCCAGAGGCAGCAGCTGCTGGGTGGCAGGGTGGGGGAGGAGGGCCTTGTGACTGCCTTTTAGAAGCAGGACTCGGCGTAACTGCTGGGAAAGCTCTTAATTAAATGTGTAACAAAATAAAAGCAGCCAGAGAGAAAAGGTAAGCAGTGCAGCGTGACTGTGCACTGCTTATTTGTGTTCTGGAGCCTTGGTCGGGGCTGTCAGTGGCTCTCAGCAGAGCTGCCCTGTACTATGCGCCTGGCAAAGGCTGCTGCTGAGCCTGACAAGGCTGTGTGAAATTGACACTCATAACTTGTTAGTATGGGGCTGACTTCGTATTTTGACATCCATTTCCAGATTTAACTAAGTCGAAGGAATTCAGCCAATGTTTTCATTTCCCACTCTGGTTTCCGGAAGCCACGGCTCCTTCTCCTTGCTGTTGTTCCTCCAGCCCCCAAGGCTGCTTCACATCAATGTTGTTGGGAAAGGCCTGATTAGTGCAGCACTGAGAAATGCGAGCTGAAGTGGCGGTAAAAATCCCACCGGAGCAAAGAAATCTGCTCTTGTCCTGACAAAATCGTTTTGTGTCTGCCTTTCTTCAGAGCTGGATGAGGTGTTGCTCTGGGTTTGTAGGGCGTGAGGCTGTAGCCACAGGTACTGTTATGGTGAGTTTTAGTTAGTGGGGGTGGGTTTAATTTTCTTTTATATTTTCTTTGTTTTGTTTTGTTTTTTTGAGACAGGGTTTCTCTGGCTGTCCTAGAACTCACTCTGTAGACCAGGCTGGCCTCAAACTCAGAGATCCACCTGCCTCTACCTCCCGAGTGCTGGAATTAAAGGCATGCGCCACCACCACCTGGCTTCCATACTTCTTATAGAAAAGATATTTATTAGGGTTTAGTTTAACTCCCTGCCCTCCCCTGACTGACCTCTCCTCATTTTACCTGTTGTTCCTTGAAGCTCCCCCAAGGGGTTTCTTGTTCCTTTGCTTAGCCAGTTGGAGAATGTCCAACCTTGGGGTGGTGGAGAGGTAGCGTTTGTGGATGGTGAGGAGTGAGACCTGCACGGGCAGCCATTTGAAATAACTTGAGTTCTAGCCTCTGGCCTGTATCTCCAGGCTTACCAGCTGAACAGCATATGTTTGAGACGTAGACCAGAGGCTTCCTATGGAGGGCTTTTGATCTAAGAAAAGGGGCAAACGAGGTAGGGCAAGACTGGAGGCAGAGCTGGCTGGAGGGAGGCACAGGCCTCCGTGCCATTTGCAGAAAGGTCCATTTTGGATAATCAAGCACTATCCTGAGTTCAGGAGGGGCTGAGGTCTGTTTGGAGTTGGTTCAGGGGACCTTCCTGGAGACTCAGCTCACCTTTAGTACAGGAAGCTCTCCCGCTACATGTAAGTGCAGGGCTGGCATTGATTGGTCTTAGTTTCTCTCCGTGACTTCTAGGATGTCCATGCTATGCCCTCTGCCTGTACTCTATAGAGATGGACCTAGAGAACCGGAGGTTTTCAGAAAGTCTGCAGAGTGAGGGGCTTTGCTGACTGTGTGCTGCCCACTGCTGGTGTGGAGAGTGTGCACTGAGTGGCTGCAGTCAAGTTGAAGAGCAAGACTGCTGGTACCTGGAGTGAAGGGACCCAGTGATAGACCCATACAGTTAGAGAGCACTGTGGGCTAGGAGTTCTCTTGATGGTGCTGGCGGTGGGTCAGGCTGGGTCCTCTAGGCTCATTCAGTAGAGCTAATCATGTCATCTTGACATGATAGTCTTTAACTGTGTCTTCTGAGTCTTTGGCTCCTCCTTACACACTTTTGCAGTTCACTCTTTCTTAGTTTTTTTCCCTAAGTTTGGTGTTTTTGTCCTTGAGACAGGATCTCTCTGTGTAGCCCAGGCTGTCCTGGAACTTACTATGTAGACCAGGCTGGTCTTGAACTCACAGTGATCTGCCTGTTTCTGCCCTCCCTCTATCCACCCAGTGCTGGGATTAAAGGTATGCTCCACACGTGTTGGTGTTCCTAAAGTGTTAGTGTTGCTTTGATCCTGTCCTAGCTTTCATTTACCTTCGTTCTTGCTCTCATCAGAGTGGTCTGGGCTTTTGCTGGAGCTTCACCTGTCTGTGCACTGAGGTCTCCAGTCTTTTTTCCAAGAGAAATTAGAACCAATTATGATCCTGCTGGAGACAAGAGATCTGCTCCATCAGCTCCTTGAGTGCCAAGCCTTGTACACAGATGCCTCCTATCCCTCCACAGGCCAGAACTGTCTGTGTTCCCCCCAGCCCTCGCATGGTGCCATCACTCAGCTACCTTGTCAGAAACCTGAGAACCACCCTTGCCTTGCCACAGCCAGTGAGTCTGCAAATCCTGTTGCCCACACCTCCCAGAGGTTCCTCCGGGGGATCTGTTGTAGGCTCTGGCTCTGGTCAGGTCACACCTCTGCTTCACTGTACCCTCCAGGTCCAGTCCATACTGCTGGTACCTTCAAGGATCTTGCTTCCTTCCCTTAGTGCTCTACCTCCTCTCACTTTCATGTTTACTTATTTGTTTTACTGTTTACT